TGATGATGATAATAATGGATCTTCTTCTTCTTCAGGTGCCATCTCCGCTACGGAGGTTGGCAATCATCATAGCTATCTTAATTTTTGAGGCAGTAGCTCTAAATAGTTGTTTTGAGCTGCATCCAAACCATTCTCTCAGGTTCTTCAGCCATGAAATTCGTCTTCTTCCGATGCTTCTTCTGCCATCTATTTTTCCTTGCATTATGAGTCGCAGGATGCCATACTTATCGCCCCGCATCACATGTCCGAGATACTGTAGCTTTCTTTCTTTAATTGTTAGTTCAATTTCCTTCTCTTTGCCTATTCTTCTCAGTATTTCATTGTTTGTCACTCTATCTACCCAGGAAACCCTCATAATTCTTCTATAGGTCCACATTTCAAATGCGTTAAGTCGTCTCATGGTATCTAGATTTAACGTCCATGATTCCACTCCATAATATAGTACACTGTATACGTAACATTTTGTTAGGCGTACTTTAAGAGCTAATGTTAGATCTTTGCCACATAGGACCTTTTTCATTTTTATAAAATTAGAACGTGCTTTTTCGATTCTGACTTTGATTTCTGCCGTGTAGTCATTATTTTCTGTTATAAGTGTTCCTAGGTAAGTGTACTTTTTTACTCTTTCGATCTGCTGGCCCTCTACTATCAAGATTTCGTTAGTATTATAGTTGTTTTTACAAATTTTCGTAAACTTCGTCTTTTTGACATTAAGAGAGAGTCCGTACTCCCTACTACACATGACTATTTTGCTCATGAATCTTTCCAGGTCTTGTAAACTATCGGCTATTATTACTGTATCATCTGCATATCTGATGTTGTTAATAATTAAGACTCCATTTACTCTTATGCCGACTGTTTCATCTTCCAGAGTTTCTCGAATTACCTCTTCAGAATAGGCGTTAAATAATAGAGGTGATAGAATGCAGCTTTGCCTGACTCCTCTCTTTATTTCCATTTCTTCAGATGTTTCTTTTTCGATTCTTACTATTGCTCGCTGATTGTAATAGAGGTGTGTTATTAGCCTTAAATCTCTTTCATCTAGGTTTTTATTTTTAGAATTTCCAGGAGTCGATCATGTTTTACTTTATCAAACGCTTTATTGTAGTCTATAAAACAGACGTAAAGAGGACGGTTAACATCCAAACATCTCTGCGTCAGCACATTGAAGGAGAATAATGCCTCTCTGGTATCCATACCATTGCGGAACCCATATTGAGTGTCACTAATATCCAGCTCCAGTTTAGAGTGTATTCTGGCGTGGATAATTTTCAAGAGAATTTTCAAGGTATGTGACATTAAGCTTATGGTTCGATAGTCACTACACTCTTTGGCATTCACTTTCTTTGGTAAACACACAAATGCTGATGTCAACATTTCTCTAGGAATGATTCCCGTAGTATAGATAGCGTTGAACAGTTCTACTATTATGTCCAGGTTTTTCTCGTTGACCAACTTTAGTAGCTCGCTTGGTAATTCATCTGGACCAGCAGATTTATTGGTTTTCATTGAGTTTAATGCCTGACTAACCTCTGATTTGGTTATCTCTGGACCTACATCTCCCGTTTGGCTATCTACAGATGTACTAGCTTCTCTCTGGTCATGAAATAATTCTTCGATGTACTCTTTCCATCGTCGTAGTTTTTGTTCTGTTTCCAATATAATATTTCCATTTTTGTCGAGCAATATATTTGAGGTTCTTCTATTTCCTACTCCGGCTAGTTCTTTGACTTTTTTATGTAGGTTGAAGTTGTCATATCTGTTTTGAAGTTCTTCTATTTCTTTACATTTTTCAGAGAAGTAGGTCTCTTTAGCCTCCCTAATTTTTCCTCTTATTTGATTTTGAAGATGTTTATAGCGCGTCTTATTGATTGTTTTGTTTTTTCTCCTTATCCTCGTATAATAATGGATATAATATATCAATAAAAAGATTTTTTTAATTTATAATTGGATACTGACATAATGATCACTCTTTGAACATGATTTTATTATTACATATTTTTTAGTAGATAGATATAGTGTTTCAGTAAATTGAAGTTAAAATCAGTAGATAAAAATCCGTAGACCTGGTAATCCTGCGGGACGTGCAACGTACAGGCACCAAAAAATGGCAGTCAAATCGAAACTGGCTTGACTTTTCGAAGGTTTTTAAATGAGATTTACCTGTCCTCTCTCTTTCCTTGTCTAAGGTTATTTCAAGCATATTTTTTATAACTTTCAATTAAATAAATCATAAGCCACGTGTTTCAATCAACAGCACTACGTACTCTAAAAAGATCTTTCAAATGTAAAAAATTTTTATAACCGAAAGTTTTTTTATTGGCATAGACTAGGTGTCAATCAGACAGTTACAACATGACTACTGCCTTAAACATAAAAATTTTATGACCGTAAAGTCCATAAAATATTAATAACAACGAAGAGCTGAATATGTTTTAAGAGCTAAAATTAAATAAGATACAAGTTGAATAAACCATCTTTTCAACATCTTCAGTTTGTTCAAAAAATGGTACACATAATATAATTCAAAATACTAACTTTTTTTGTATTATCTCCTTTTTATGTATATATATTACGAGCAAAGCCCGAAATTGGGCAATCCTAGCATTGTACGGAAATTATTGTCCACTTCTAGCATTGTACCCCCAAACTGTACAATGTCCGAAATGATTATATTTAAAAATGATTATCGAGAAGCTTATCGATTCGAATCGATTATTATTAACAAGCGACACATCAAATCAAAAATCGAACATTTCTTGTTAATTATTTGATATTTTTTATTTTCTATTTATATACAAAGGTGTACTTTTTCGAATCGACAACGTTATAAAATGCTGTCTCAAACTAAAATACACTGCGCTCCAAAATTAACGCATAATTTTAAAATTCTTATTTTGAGTTATAATAAAAAAATTTTGTTTGTTCTTTTCTGCTTTATGGTTGTTTTAGAACATCTTAAATAAAAAACTTTTCTTTTTCTACAAAAAATGTATTAAAATTAACAATATAACATCATAAATCTAAACATCTAAACAAACAACTGATCTAAACAAACCAATATTATAAATTAATGACGAAATTGAAATTTTTAAAGTTCAAGAAAATACTAGTACCGTGTACTAGTATCGAGTTATTACTGCTTGACAACGATCTCTCATACTGAGAATAATCGTTCGATTTCTTCTTGATCAATTTGATCCCAAATTTCAACCAACCGCAAAAACAGCTCACCTAATGTGTTTGGTGCATTAGGTAGTTGTCGTAGTCGTCTGCCTATGATGTCCCAAACATGTTCTATTGGGTTGAGGTGAGGACTTCTTGCAGGCCAATCCATGGCAGGAATTCCAACCTCCTGACGATACTGCTGCACAATTCTTGCCGTGTGTGGCCTGAAACTATCTTGCATAAGCATGAAATTATCCCCAATAAATGGTGCAAATGGCACCGCATGCTCTTCTAAATTGTCTGTTATATACCTCTGCGATGTAAGCCGACCGCGATCTATTCTAACTAATTCCACACGAGCCTCTAAATTAATCCCACCCCACACCATTAACAAGCCGCTGCCATACTGTACAGTCCCTACGGCGTTACACTGTGCGTAGCGTTCCCCAGCCCTTCTGCACACTCGGTTTCTCCTGTCATCAGAAAAAAGACAGTACCCGGATTCATCGGTGAACAATATTCTTCCCCAATCGTCATTATTCCAATCAACATGTTCACGCGCAAAATGCAATCTTTGCCTTCTATGGTCTCTGGTCAACAATGGGCCAATTGGTGCCCTTCCAGGGCACCAGGCACCAGGTCGTTTTCTGCAAGTCTTCTTCTAATCGTATTTCGGCTGATTCTAAAGTTATAACGATCCGAAAAATTCATTTTGTAGAGAAGTACTGATAACAAATCTTTGTCTCAGTGTACGAAGTGTCAAAACCGGTCTTGATTAGGAGTTATAACCCTTCTACAGCCTTGACCGGGTCTTCCCGAGTTACTTCCAGTAACAGAAAAACGTGTTAACACTCTTGAAATGGTTGACTGGGTGACTTTAAAATGTTCAGCGAGTTCTACTTGAGTGTATCCTTCTTCGCGAAGAGTAACGATTCTAAAACAGTCACTTTCTGACAAATTTCGATTTTCTTGCTGCTGGTGGTTAATTTCAAAGAAAAAACATTTAATAAACTTGAAAAACCCCTTTAAACGTTCAGCATAACGTAATCCAACTCAACTAAATTAGAAATAAGATGAAGCACAATTGACATGTTTTTAATTTTTTTTGCAAAATATCGTAAAAACATCAGCGTTTTTAACCGTTCTTTCGATAAATTTTACAATATACCGGGGGTAACAATAATATATTAGCACCAAAATCGAAACGTTAAAATTATTTGATTTACCAGGGTTTTTAAAATTATGCGTTAATTTTGGAGTGCAGTGTATAAATAATACGAAGAAATTGTTCTGCAATAGAGTGATAGATAAAAGCACATAAAAGTAGGTATATAAAAAGTTCCGTTAAAGAAATGAAGGAAACTTTTGTATTTGGCAGTGTTGTCATGTCGTTTTAATAAATCGCGAAAGTGCATGCGATATAATATTAATTAATTTTATTAAACATTATTTTTAAGTTTATAAATGAAGTTTAATTAAATTTAATTTAATATATTTTAAGTTCCAGCAACTAACTAATAGATTAATTTAGGATTTATATCGTAATTGATGTTTGTTTGTTTTTAATATCAAATGGGGAATAATCATAAAAATAATAGATGTCTGTCATATTCTTCCAAACTTTGACGCATTGCTACTTAACGACTTATTGAAATTCGAACATTGTACAGAAATTCTTCTATACAAAGTCCGACGATTATGTCTATTTCGGAGATTGTACAGTAAAGGGGTACAATGCTAGAAGTGGACAAGATTTCCGTACAATGCTAGGATTGTCCAATTTCCGACATTGCTCGTAACATATGTATAAATAAAAACAAAATAGTACTTACCATCTCTATCATTTTATCGTTGTATTCAGTTAGAGCATCGTCCGTAGGCACAAACAAAGAAAAGTTGCCGTCCGTGAATTTTTCGTCAAGCTGACTTGTTTTGATTAAGTTTCTGAACTCTGAAGCCTTGATGTCATCCAAAGTGTCCAAAATGAGTTTCAGATCTGCCTTTTTGTCGCATCCACCTCCTCTAGTTCTAGTATATCCATAGCAGCACTTGTAGCGAACCGTAAACGTCTTGAAGACACCATGGTTATTTATTCTTAAAAAAAAAGATAGAGATAACATACTAATCAAATTAGAACACAATTATTTTAAAAATATTTTAATAATAAATTCACTATGGTTGTTGTAGTAACAAAGAAGATTTTTCAAATGAACATGTAGATAAATGAGTGGATGCTGAAGTGTGTTTGAACATATCATATCCTAATTTTATCATTATTAATATTATCAAGCCCATAACCATCCACAGCTAAGCACAAGCCTTTTCTAAAAACTTTCACTCAGATCTATATTGCACTGTTGTAATACAATTGGTGCATATCTTCTTTATGTCGTAAGTCCATCTTGTGTGTGGTCTTCTGGGGGTACGTCTTTAAGAAACCCAAGAGAAATAGGAATAACTCACATCTCTTCAGAAGAAGTCAAAAGAATAATTAAATACCTAGAAACAAAACAGCGCCAGGATCAGATAGGATCACGAACTGGGTGTCAAAAAGTCTTCCAAAGGAAGCAATCATACACATAACCCAAATAATAAATGCTTTGCTCAGACTAAGAAGATTATCTAGGAAATCGAAATAAGCACAAGTCATAATGCTTCAGAAAGCCAGGAAAAAATGGAAAATTTACTTAAAACTACAGTGCAATAAGCCTACTATTATTATTAAGAAAGGTTGCGGAGAGAAAAATACTATAGGTATGTTAAAAGAAGAGTCTCAAACAATGGGCACGATACCGGAAGCACAATTTGGTTTTAGAACTGAACATTCCAGCGAGCTACAAGTGTAAAGGTTGACCAAATACGTCACAAAGCGATTCAACCAGAAGAAATACACTACTACTGCATTTCTAGACGTTAGTAAGGCATTTGGCAAAGTGTGGCACGAAGGTCTTATTCACAAAATGAGATAACTTGAATACAGCAAGGAAATGGCATGTATTCTCTCATCCTACCTCTCCAATAGAAAGTTCAGGGTTCAGATAGGACAGATCCTATCTGAAGTCAGAATAATCGAGGCTGGAGTGCCACAGGGAGGAGTACTGTCAGCCTTTTTGTTTACCATATAGACTGCGGACACACAGAAATAGCAGCGAGAAGTCTGGATACAAAAAAATATTAAGAATCACGCTATAATCTCTTATTGATAGGAATGGCAACTTAAACCTGAAAACGAAGTAGGTAAGAATGGCAAAAGGCATCTTCATTACAGTTATAAGGTATGGATCACTAGCTTGGGGTTAAATCTGTAAAAGCAATAGAAAGAAGATTCAAGTATTACATAACCACTATAAAATTTCTATCAGAGGAAACGTTTATGAATCTATTCTTGAAAGTGTTTCATACATATTTTCTTAGAAAACTTTTTTACGTGAGAATAGAAGAAAATATAATAGAGACACAGAAGAAAGGATCATTAAGAACATCACTGGATAAAGTTATTATATATCGGTTTTAGAACGTCTTTGGACGTTGTCCGATGCCTAACTTCCACGTCCTTCTATCATCCCATTGGCCGTCTCTAAGATCTCTTGTATTCATTGCTTTAGTTACCCCTTCTTTCCATGTCTTCTTGGGTCTTCCTCGTTTTTTGCGGTTTGGTGGTACCCACTGCATAATCTTCTTGGGTAGTCTTGTGTCTTCCATTCTTTGAACATGACCATACCAAATCAACTGTTTCCTCTCAATGTCTGTTGTTAAGTAACCATCTATTCCAATTCTTCGTCTTACTTCCTCATTTCGAACTCTTTCCCTGCGGGATATACCTAACGATCTTCTAAACACATCCATTTCTACAGCTTCTAATTTTTTTCTGTTGTTCTCGGTTATTCTCCAAGTTTCTGTTCCATAAAGTAGACTGCTTTTAATTAGTGACTCATAGATGTTATATTTTCGCTTTATTCCTATTTCAGAGCTCCAAAGTATTCCATTTAGGCAGCCAATTGTTCTTCTAGCTTGTGCAACCCTTTGTGCAAGGAAATAAAGAAAAGGGTTGAAAAAGGGATAAAGTTATACAAGAAGAAAGTATTTGCTGAGAAAGTTGCAAAGTAATTTAATGCAGAAAATAGTTCATATCCAATGGTACATAATAAAAACTAATTTCATTCATCTCACTAATTGGTGAGAATGTATATGTAACAATAAAACACTGAAAACGTTGTTTTTAAAACGTCCATAAAATTTATTTTAAACTCTTATCACTACAGCTGTTTCGGCTGATTGCCTTTCTCAAGCGATCTATTTTTGGCGTTTACACTTTATAGTCTTTAATGAAATATGATGAGGAGGGGAGAACTGTTTGTCTCAAGTTGGTCATTCAGAATTATATCTGTTTTTTAATTTGTTGATTTCCACGGATTCTAACAAGGATAGATTAAGGCCTTTATTTTGAATGTGAAGAATTTTACATTCGTCAATAAAAGAATGATTATGATCTAGAAGGTGAAGTGCGTATGTAGAATCTGTTTTTCTATTATTGAAAGCCCTTTTATGTTCTGCTATTCATTTATTAAAATTTTTACCAGCTTGACCGATGTCAGTTTTTGGGTAGACGCCACATCTAAGTTTGTACACACCACTGTGTAAGTGTTTTTTACTTTGGCTCTTGTTGATTTTAATATATTTGCCCAAGTTGTTATTTGTTCTGAAAGCTGGTGTTATTCTTTTCTTTTTTATGTGTTTGGCTATTTTTGTTGACATTTTGTCTTTATATGTAATCGAGCAGAAGAAACTGGGTTTTTTCTCTTTCTTTCTGGTGGTAGAAATACTAATTCCGGGGCTTTCTTTATGTAGTTTTTAATTTAACATTTTATTAATTGTTTGTTCGTTGTATCCATTGCTTACTGCTATTTGCTTTATGATATTTAATTCTGTCTCAAAGTTGTATTTTGACATCGAAATTTCTGTTAATCCATGTAACATATTATGATAGGCTGCCAGTTTATGTTGTGTGGGATGGGATGATGAATTGTGTATAGTCGTGTTCGTATGGGTAGGTTTATAAAATGTGGAGAAGTCATGTTTGTTTTTAAGTCTGGTAATTATTTTTAAATCTAAAAATGTATGGATTGATTTTGTTCTGTTTCTATTGTAAATTCAATATGACTATGAAGTGAATTAATATACGATAAAAATTGGTAGAGTTGATTGTTTGTTCCTGTGAAACATACCAGTACGTCGTCTACGTATCTCCACCAATATAAAAACTGAAATCTTTGTCTCTAGACGATCCATAAAAATATCTGATAGCAATGGGCTTAGAGGATTGCCAATTATAAATCCTGCACTGTTATTTGTATATATTTGATTATTAAATTCAAAGTAGTCCTGGTTTATACAAACTTCAAGGAGATGTAAAATTCCAGATGTAATGATTGGTTTTGTACTATTTTGGTCTAAAAGGTTTTTTACTAGAATAAAACTTTCTGTAGGAGGAAAACTAGGAAAAAGATTTTTTACGTCAAATGAAATTAATCTGGAGTTGTTAGGTAATTGAAAATGTTGTATTTTATTGAATAGTTCTATTGTATTTTTAATGATAAATTTAGGTGAAAATTTAGTGTGTTCTAAAAGAATCTCTAACAGTTTTTTTGAAAGTTTATATGACGGAGCTGTACAAAAAGAAACTACAGGTCTTATTGGGTGATCCAGTTTGTGTAGTTTAATAAAAGATTATAATTTAGGAGGCTGTGGGTTCATGATATTGAGGTATTTCTGTTCTGCTGGATTTACTATTGTCTGAATTTTCTAACGCTAGCTTAATTTGTTCTTGATACTTTTCTGTCGGATCTTTGTGTAACGTTTCAATATTTTGATTATTTAAAAATTCTATTGTTTTGTTATTATATTCTATTTTATCTATAGCAATAGTAGCGCTATGTCTGCTTTTGTAAACACCATGTTGTTTTCTATTGATTTATTTATAATTGAAATAGCTGTTTTAATCTCTTTGTAACAGGAATTTTTGGTTTCACTACACACATCTGTAATAGATTTTGCAATTATACTTTGTTCGATATTGTTAGCAGTTTTGTTTAATGCTACTTCACATTCTACACCTAAATATTCTAAAGTTTTCTGATTATTATGTTGGGGCAAGTTGTGTTTAAATCCTAAATCCTTCTCTAAAAGTTGTATCTCGCTATTACTAAATTTAGTTAATTACTATTTATAACTGGGAATAAGCCACAATTAAAGATAAAAATACGTTTATTGACGTTTCAATTTCCAATTCGGAAATCGTTCTCAAAATACAAACAGTAAATTAAACAAATTTTGTTTTTTGTTACTTCTTCTTCTTCTTCTTCAGATGCAAATCCACTAATGGATGTTAGCGATCACATTTTCCATTAACTCTCTATTTCTTGCAATATGTATCAGAGATTGTATGTCGTTAATCCCTGTCCATTGCCTTATGTTTCGGAGCCAGGACATTTTCTTGCGTCCCATTCCTCTCTTGCCTTCAATTTTACCCTCGATTATAAGTTGGAGGAACTGGTATTTTTCATTTCGCATGATGTGACCTAGATACGCCGTTTTCCTTTTCTTGATGGTTTCGAAAAGTTGGCGTTCTTGGTTTATTCTTTTAAGGACATCTATATTTGTGATTTTCGCTGTCCATGATATTTTTAGGATACGGCGATAAAGCCACATTTCGAAAGCTTCCAATCTGTTTATATCTTTTTTTTGTTACATCTGTTTTTTGTTACATAGTGAAAAAATTCTTCTAATAATTTAATTTTATCTGACTCATTTATATTGACAATTCAGACATACATTATGCATTTTAAAGTAGACGACTTTAAAATGATATTGCCAATATTGTTGAGTTGCGCTCCTGGGACGACTTTACTTATAAGATAGTTGATTCGATTACATGAAATCAACTTTAACTTGAGAATATCCGTCAGAAAAAATCATAGCATGTAATTCGTCTTTAAAAAGACAAACACATGACATGATGACAGTAAAATTCTCCTGTTAGTGATTCCATAGTAAATTATGAGGGAAAAACCAGGAAAAAAACCTCATAATACTAT